TTTTTCTTTTTTTCATAAAGAAGATCAGAGCAATGTCACATCAGTTGGTGTAATGCTCCTTTAATCCTTTTACCCTCGCAGTTGTGCTGCGATAAGACAACCACGGCCCAGCAAAGAGGGAAACCTGGACAGGAGCCCTGCGAAGGCCTAAACTGATTGTGTTTGTGTGAGTGTTACAGGAGGATGGAAGATAAACGCTTGCCAGGACCAATGTGCGTTTGTGTGTCCATTTAGACCGTTTGCGGACACGTTCGCCAAGCGCTGTCTGCACGCGTTTTTACGTCTAAGCCTAACGTGTTATGGCTGTATGCGCGTCTCGCTGCAGCGCCAATACAAATTTATAGCCGTGCTCAGAATGAGGTTAATAAAAATCCTCTGTGGATGTGTGTTAAACAGGTTTAAATCCTGCGTGAGTGCGCGCGCGCGCAGGTGTGTGTATGTGACTATGCATGTTTGATGGGACCATCAGCTGATCAGTGAGACGGATGGTGTCGGGCCAGACGCTGCTAATCCAATCAGCTGCCTGAAGCGATGTGATAGGCCAAGAAGCAGGAAGTATGATCTGATTAAAAGGACATTATGGCCATGTGCAGAGCACCCGGAGCCTGGGGGGTGACAGGTGTGATTACACACACACAGATATAGACACATACAATAAAACCTGCCTGCCTAGGCACTTATACGAGCCTCACAACAAATGCAGACATGATTGCCAGGCCAACCAAGGCAGGATTACTGAGTAAGACGGCGCTAACAGAACACAGCAGCAAATAACATACATTTCTGCTTACTATTAATGTTGAACATTCAATCTTCTAAATGAGAGAGTTTAATTTAATTCATTGAAACAGTTTTATTGTGATAAATTTAAAATAAAAAGGATACAACAATCAATTCCTGCCATTTAGCCAAGAGAAAGCAACAATATCAGGAGCGATTTAATTTATCAAATTAGCATTCAAAGATGTTAAATTAAAAAAAAACAATGTTTTTACAAATAAAATGGCACTGGATGCGTGACTGGTTATTTTGTGAGACATTTGACTCTGTTTAGCTGAAAGCTTGTTTGCTTGATGATTTTAGGAAACAGAAAAGTCTGATGTGTCTCATGGACACATTTAAAGATGTTACAAAGAAAGCAGAAAACACAGTGTGCCACTGATAAAATTACCATCAGTGCAGGTTACCATACTTGTAAAAAAAAACTTCAGTAAGTTGATTCTTCTATCAATTATTCTAATGATTAGGGTCCAATCAATCAACCAAGCTTATTTGCATTGTACGTTTCAGGAACGAGGCATTTCAAGATGCTTTACATCCTAAAAATGTAATAGGTCAGGGTTACCAGGACACGACTGAGATGGACAGAGCAGGTGTTACAGAACAGACCCCTGCCTCCTGAGCCGCCGTCGCTCCAATTAGATTAATAATCTCAATTTCCGGACAGATAATAGTTTCTACTTCCTGCTCCATTTGAGGCTGAGAGAAAAATTACAGTTCGCTACAGAAACAGCGGCACACTGCTTAGATGTTTGTATCAGCATCTATAGTGTGATCGGCTACGAGAAATAAAGGCAGCGCAGGCAAAATTGTGGCAAATAAGCAAATAAATTGCATTGCTTTATGAATTCCCCCTTTTTGTTGGTGTCATATTTGTACCTTTTTGGTGAGATTCTGATCCTGGTCAGGGGGCATGCGAGTGGACACATGATAGATGACTTCAGTCGTGGATGTGGCATAGTAAGGCGTCGTCTGGCCAGTGCTGTGATTTCTCTGAAGGCCTCCCATGAACCCACAGTGAGTCTTGAGGTCGACCTAATGCATAACATTAACATGCATAATGACAATCTTGTTTTCATCTTGAAAACGCAAACCTCCTGTGAAGTTTCAAGAACACCGTAAAAGATAAATGTGTATTTCTGACTTGGAATTCAGGATTTTCGGAAAATCCATGCCTGCCATGTTTAAATAATTTGTCTACTTTATGATTTAGGATGACAAATGCTCCCAGTAAGTGCAGAGTATGTAAGAAAAAGTTTTAGTACCTCCCAGCCCAGTCCTGAAACAAAGTCTTCATAAGCCTGGCTGCCAGCGGTGTTGGTGAGTATGGAGTGTTTATCCTCTTGGCCTTCAGCCACGTAAAATACTGCGATCTTATGAGTCTCTCGGCTGAAAGACAATGACAGAAAGTAATCAGCACCAACGGGGAGTTGGTTTGAACTCTCAGGCTAATAAAAAGGTTTCAGAGAGGAGTTAAAGGAGGTTCACAGAGGAAGATAAGCGCTGCTCACCACTGCCGTGAGTCTAGGTTCTTCAGCTCTCTCAGTAACTTCTCGTTCTTCCTCAACAAATGAAAGTTACTCCTGCAAGAAACAGATAAACGCGCTACAAGTCATTACCGAGGCCTGCCAACACGGCTTTGAGTTAAAATATCTTAATCCTTTACCTTGATTTATTTGAAATGACACACAAGTCTGTGTGTAAGAATAATTGATGCTTGTATGGAATGTTAAAATCTACAGAAAAGATCATCTTTTTGTGCGACTCCATCAGCATACATTTCCATTCAGTAACGTAGATTGCCATTCACTTTAAATCCCAACTATTTATAGGACAGGCAATAAATACTTTATAGGAATACAAGTATTTATACTTCAAGTCTTTATACTTTATAAAGACTTTATAGGAAACTGGAATTGTGACAAAACGAGGCTGTACCAGGACCCAAATATATCTCAAAGCCTTGCACATTGAACAACGTACTAAAAATACTCCAACTGCTCTGTGTTACAGAACTGCAGCATGTGTGCAGAGTGATTACTTATGGCCATCAAGGCTAATGGGTATTATACTTGCCAATCTGTAGATTGGGAGGTTAAGTAAGGAACAAAGCTTACTTAGAGAGGGGTAGGACCCTCGATGACCTGGAGAGATTGTAAAGGTCCAACCTGGAACGCTAATTTATGTCAGGTTGGCAAAACGTGTTGCATTGATTTTAGTAGGTTAAAAATAGTGGTGGAAACAAGAATAGATATTTTTCATCATGAAAATATATTAAAGGTTGCATTTTTCTTACTCTTTCATACTTTGCGTTCATTATAGAAATAGAGCTACTTGGAGAGAGGCTCCAAGAGGTTATTAGGAGCTGCAGATAAATACAAAACTAATAGATTATGGCTAAAAGAACAAGATTCACAAACCAAGAGTGTCTGACTTGCCTGACTATCAATTCAAAGAAAAAATAAAATCTTCCTAAGCATAAAAAGACTGTCCTGAACTTCTTGACAAGCATGTTTAACACCTTTTGAAAATCAAGCCTCTGACTTCAAAAACCATCAAGCTGCTGAAGACCTCCTGTTTACTCCTAGTTTGTGGGGGGAAAAGTCTAAACATCCAAAGTTTCGACACTTTCAGGCTCTCAAGAAAGAAAGATGGGCTGTGATTTTTAAGAAAAACAAAAGCCTTTCATGCAGAATAATTTATCTAAAGGCGGTTGAAACTGTGCCAACAAGCGACCCTCAACCTCTGTACGGCTGATATGAAAACCAAGAGTAGGGCAGCGAAGCTTGGAGTGGACTGATAATGACACGCCGTTCTTTTCACTCTTAGAAAAAGGGAAAAAGAGTGAGGGAGTGCAGGAGATAAACAGAGAGAGGTAAAGAAAAGGAGAGAGAGAGAGAGAGAGAGAGAGAGGGAGAGAGAGAGAGAGAAAATGAGAGAGAGCAATTTGCTCTTTATTAAAGTGATACTTGGTAATGGCCTCATTCTCTGCTCTCAAAGACTCCATTTACACCCTGGATTATAGGGAAAAGCATAAAAGGGGATACACATGGGTGACTGTCAGTATCTTAGTGTCTGTAATGCCTCATATGAATACCTGGAGAGACGTCGGTGACAATAACAGATGATTAGACAACATCTCCTTTTCTCCCCCCCTTTCATTCTTATCTGCCTCCTTATTTTCCCTTTAAGTTTCTTGAGCTTTCATTTCAGTCTTTTTTGCTTCATTATTTATTTTCTTTATTATCATTACGACTAAATCTGCATGGGTCTGAATCATCTTGGTTTCTGATTTGCCACAGCCCCCTCAATCGCGCTTTTCTTCAACTACTGCTTTTTTATTCTGACACCAAATGGGCCGAGTTTGATCAATAGAGCGCTGTCCTCATTATCACGCGCACACACACGAGCATGTGGAGAAGTCCATTGTGTGGCTCTGAATGCAGAAAGTGTAATTCCCTGGATAAAGTATAAAGAGTGATGAGCGTCCATTAGCCGGCCAGGCGCATTTAAAGCAATACCCCGACATTGTGAGTTCCAGCTCCGAGTCATTGAGAAGATGAAATGCTGCACGATGTGAATGGGGAGAAATATAGCCCCTAATTAGCTCAATGTAGTTCACCTTTTTCTTTTATATGCATTAGGCAAACATTTGGTTTTGCTCTGGAGAAGAGCAAAATACAGAAGACATCCCACACATACCTTTTATGAAATTACCCTTCATTCGAAACATCTCATGCTAAAATGTGCAAAGAAATCTTCTTGCTAGGTTCGTTGCTTAGGTGAAAATCCTGCATCCTTAAACTTATTATGGGATAATCCAGGCTGTCTGTGCGTTGTGATGTAAAAGTACAAGACTTTTCCAGATTTAAATTAGAAGGGTGCCATTCCTTTTAAAGCAGGGGGGTCAAACTCATTTTCATTTTGGGCCAAATTGAGGCCATGAAGGGCCAGTTGTGGCAAAATGTATTAATAAAACCATCCATTAATAAACTGTTAAAAGATTAACTGAGCATATAGTCATATTAATGTATTTTAGCACTACACAGATAAAAACTGCTTTGATCTGACTGATGAAATAGTATTTAAGCACACAACTGATGTCTTTAAAGTCCTATTTCTGTGGCCCTCATAAAAAGTTGTGGCGGGCCGATTCTTTAGTTTGACACTTATGTTTTAAGGCAATGTTTAAAGTAGAAACTCCAAAGTTCACTGTGAATTTATTACTGTTATTTCTACGGTGTACAGGCTTTCCAAATATGAAACTTTGAAATAAAAAATAAAAACTGGATGATTGATTGGATGGATAGATTCATCACTATGTGGAAGGAGAGACCTGGACTGAGGTTTTTGATAACAAAACAGGAAATGTTTTAAATCTCATTTCTTTATTCTCGCTTTTGCGGACCTGGATAATACTTCACAACACAAGACTAAACAAAAAAGCAAAACGACTGACGTAAGCAAAGAAAAGAAAGAACTTGACCAAAAGATAGCAGAATGATACTTTGAACATCGAGTTAGATTTAAATAGCACTTCAACACAATTTTCCATTATTGTTGAGGAAGCCTTACCTCTTCTCCCAGGAGTTGAGTCCCAGTATGTTGATGAGCAGCCTACAATAGTAGAAGGCCGACTGAGGCGTCTCAGCCTCTGGTTCGGTCTGCTGCGTTGCTCTCATGTTCAGCTCCTCACCTCTCTAAGGAGAAAATGTGTCAAGAAAATGAAGTACCAAGGATGATTTGATTTTACAGTTTCTGACGAAAGAAAAAAAAAATGGAATAACCAGTCTTAAAGGAAGCTCAATCAGTAGCTCTAGTTTGTAGCAAAACTCTAATCACAGTTAAGACACCAAACTATTTGCATGGTTTTTGCTTGAGGCGTAAAAATAAGATGCAGCTTCCAACAATTTTAATAAATGCCGCTCTTTCATGACACATTCATCTATGATGTAACGGCTGACTCATTGAGAAAATTGCCCATCTTGTAAAGCTTGTTGGCTGCATCTCGTTTGTATGGGATGGAACAATAAAAAAAAGTTTAGACTTCTTGCAGAGACGGCCACAGAGACAGGAATAACAAACCAGAGTTTACACTAAATGGAGATTATTTTTCATAAGGAGAATCTAAGCAACGCACGTGAAGGACAAACTCTCGCTCTGCAGCACTCTGTTTCAAGATGGCGTTGATCACATCGTTCTCCTGCTTCTCTGACACACACCCTGGAGGGGGGGCCGGGATGTTGAGTGGCATGCCTGTGAGAACCAGTGGGGAATCAAAATTTGTTTGGAAACCGTTTTTGGTTTTACAGCTCTATACCTGAAACATTACAACACACGAGTTCATGAATTCTAGTCTAACTTCAATATATTAAAAAAAATGCTTGCATTTTATTTTATTTTTAAAGGTTAAATTATTGTTTCAGTTCACATCACCAAACATACCTGCTCTCTGTAGACACTCTGGACTCGAGTAACCCAGGTACTGCAGCATCTCATCCAGCGCATCATCTCCATCTTCCAGAGAGTTCCATGCTGGCACCGCCTCCCGACACACTCGCTTAGCTAGTGGTGGAGCAAGAAGCTTTTCCGAACCCGAATCCTCGTCCGCGTGATGGACATGCATCTCTGCCTCCTCCTCCTGCTGCTCTATCTCTTCCACGGGTTCAACGTTTCCCCCTCCTCCTGGATCTTCCCTCTCCTCATCACCGACTTTTCCTTCCTCCTCGGCTACTTGAAACTCTTGTCTGTCACTTTCCATCTCTCCTTCTTCCTCCTCTGGCCCCCGCTCCTCCTGCCCGTCTGCTTCATCATCTTCCTCCTTCAACTCCATCTTGTTCTGCGGACCTCCTGGTGGAGTGCATAATTGAAGGTTTGCGCTGCGCGGCGACTGCATCTGTGTTAAAAGCGTGCGCGCTGGACTGTTCGGGGAGCACAGCGGAGGCCCGTAGAGGACGGCCGAGTCCCAGGAGTGTTTTCCTGCGACATCTCGGATGATGACACGGACGCAAGCAGGAGCAGAGGACAAGCCAGCCGTCATTCCTCCTCCCGGGACACCGGACTCTGCTCGGATCTGGGAAAAACAGGGAATAGCAGGAAATGCTAAAGTTCTGAAATGAAAATGCAACGAATGACGATAACAGTCGATGTATATCCAGTCCTGGAAAAATCAAACTACACACTTTTCCAGACCACGCAGAAATACTGCAACTAGGATCTAAACGTGTAATTGTCAGCTCAGTTGAGATAAATTGTCATTATGTCAGGAAAAAACAATAATGACACTTCGGATGACGTTACCTGGAGAACAGACAGCAGGGTGGAGCCGTTCAGAACCAGAAACTGAAGGTTTGGCGAATTGAAGAGTTCTGGTCCGAGATCTGGACTCCCACAGAACGGGTTGTCTTGGTTTTCACACACCTGTGAACAGACGTCAAGTTAGCAAAGTAAAAAAGAAAAATAATAACAAAAACAATACTTAAATGAATCCCTCTCCCTTAGTAAGGAGCTATAAAATCTTACTAGACCAAAAAGTTAGAGCACCTGACTGGACAGAGTTGCGGGCCCTCCGGACATTGGATAATGTCCCAGATGATTCACCAGATGGGTTATAACGGTTCTGGCTGCAATGGAAACCAGGCCTTGCTGGATACGGCTACGAACTGCAAAGAATAAAAGAGTGTTCTTCTAGCTAAGTTGTTTCATTTTAATTTCCCTTTACGTGTGTTTACATGGTATAATTTGTCACATCGTTCACAAACACACAACATCATCATATGATTGCAACAAAGTTGTTGACAATAAATCCACAAGGATCTATCCTAGAATCATGATTATTCATAGTAATTGTTGATCTCTGCCCAAATCATGGCTGTCAAACATATCAGCAGATCTAACAATTCTTAAAATAAGTGGAGTTGACGCGGTTTTAAAAAACTATTTTTCAATTTTGGATTCATGACTTCCTGATATCTCGTGGGGGCATCAAGACGTTTAGTAGGGATTTACTTCTCTCTCCTGCCATCTTAAATGCAAATATTACGTTTCAAAACAATTTTGAAACTCAGATTAGGCTTTTCAGCAACAAACATCCAAGTGGGTCTGAAAGGGTTAAAAGGATATGAATGTGGAAAAACCTCTCTCGCTCACTGTTAAGTATGGCAGAGGATCTGATATGCATTATTATCTGTTATTCTTTCTCTTCCAAAATGCCCTGGGAAATCTGTGAGACCTCATGGGATCATGAACTCTTTAGAAATAAAAGGACATTTAAAATAAAATCTGCTACTTTCCATCAGTAAATTCAAAACATACAGCGAATGTAAAAGTAACCTCCATCTCAGTCCTCAGAACTAATGGAAATTGTTAAGGTGAAGTGACAAAAAAGCTGAACAAAACTAAGATTTGAATGTAAAATTCAGTATTATTTACAAGTTCAATCTTTATGTGCCTTATTCTAACTGAATGAAGGTCGTCCCCCTGCAGAAGAAGCCAGTGTCATCACATACAGCCCTGAAAGTAGATCCTTGTTAATAAACACTGTCACATAGAAACACACACAATGACGCATGCAGACTTCCTAATGAGTCCTTATTGACAGATTGATTGGTGAGTACAGATATGTATTGATCGGGCACTCTCAGTGACACCCTAAGCCTCGGGGCTTGGCTCAGGATAAGGAGACAAAATGAGAAAAAGAAAGAAAACGTAATGAAGGCAGTAGGATGTTGCAGAAGTTAAAAATATAGCCAAAGAAAAACGAGAAGAGACGAGAAGAGAAGACAAGGCGAGAGACGAAAAGAGGAGAGGGGAGAAGAGAAGCATGGTGTATCAAGGTGAATCGGTCATTAGACTCCTCTCTGAGTCCCGTTGGATCATGAGTCCCGTTGGATCATAGCAGGAGGCAATAAAGTCACTCGCATGGAGTGAGCAGGAAGGTGTGTCTGCATACACATACCTTTCCGGTCAAATTGTGCAAAGATTTTGTAGATTTGTGTGCGCGTTTCTGTTTCTGTGTCCGTGCATCACTTTGCATGAGCGGAACACGCGTCGGCTCATTACAGAGCTAGATTGGATAAATTACCTTCAGTGACGGGCTGCAGTTTGCTGGAGCGCTCCGAGTCTGGGCTGTGCAGAGGTTCTGGTTCGCGGAGGCTCTCCAATGGCAGGAACGGGTCGTAGTCTGAACTCGACAGGTCCGACAGCTGCAGTGGGAAGTACTTGGGACTGCTGAAAGACTGCGCTCCATAAACGCACCCATGCAGGACCTGTACATGTTACAAGGAGAGCAGTTTTAAAAAAAAAAAAAAAGCCCAACTATGTCTGTGAGTCTGTGTTACTCTGGCCAAGGCACTGCAGCAGCTACAGACACGTTTACCTTGTAAATACAGCTGAGCAGCGTTTTGGTCGGTTGCTCCTTTTCTGGAGGGCTTCGTGTTTGTACAGGCTGGAGAAGAGTCTTTGGGGGCAGAGCCATCACCCAGTCCAACAAGCACAACAGAAGGGAAACTACTAGCTGCAGAAAACACAGCAAGACATGCATGAACCCGCTTTCTCTGGACGTCTCGTTCTACAGAACATTTTAAAAAGCATACAGAGATTTGTTACCCTCTTATCCAGCTCGTAAGAGGAGGACTCGGTGCTAGGCAGCAGATATGTGATAGTGGCAATCAGAATCTAAAGGGGAGGGTGGGGGAGGCAAACCTAGTTTAGGACTTTAAAATTGTAGTAATTTTATAAAATGGAAAATCTCTAATATGGAAAAGTACCTCTACAATCTTCTTTGGAGTGTCAGGGGGGAATTTCTGAAGATGATCCACGTAACTGATGAGGAGGTGAAGGATGTCTGAGGCCACCAAGGCTACCGTCTTATTGGGGTACTAGGAAACGGAAATAAAATTATTTAAACATAACCTAAAGTGAACAGAAAAAAACTAATCAGATCTCCTCTTGTCATTACTTATTAAACAAAGACAAACAACATGAAAGAAAGTAGAATATACAATGTTTCAACAACCTGTATAATCACCTTTAGCAGCAATAACTTTTATTAACCGTTTTCTGTTTGTTACACCATTTTGTTACAGAATTTTGGCCCACTTTTATTACCGTTCTTTGAGATTGAATGAAATGAAAATAAATATATGGTGCCTTTTTAAAAAAAACAAAAAAAAACTATCTGCCCAATAATAAAATAAACAAGCAAACTCTATAACCAGGTTTTTGTTGAAAATTGATTTACAGAAAGGCTCATGCACCTTTGTGTCATTATAGCACAAGCCTACAATATCTAGCATACTCATTGTGATTATTTTTTTAATCTGAGCTCTGCAACCCAGAGGTAAATTTAAAAGTTTGTCAATGTTTGTGGTGCTATTTACCACGAAATTAAGATGAATGCAGAAACACTAATACATTAGAAATCATTTAAATCATAATAATAAAACAATCCGCTACATAAGTTTTGAATTTTTGTAAGAAGCTTTAAAACGCCATATTAACATTAATCTCTGTCAAATTAAACTAAAATCTGTAGCTGTCAGTAAACTGCATAATGTCACAATAAAACTCAGAGTGATTAATGAGAAAAGGCTGGATTTAAACCTCAGGCACAAACAAGAGCCAACGCCCGAAAACCAAAAATGCTTGTTGATGAAAGGAAAGGAAGATGAGGCGGCCAAGAGGAGGAAGTGGCTCTGCATGGAAATATGACAATCCCTTAAGCTTTGTGTATAATTGTGTGTACATGTAACAGAGCCTGTAGCTGAGGCGACTGGCTGCTGCCACCAAGGCAGGAGATTCAGAATTGACAAAGACATGAGTGTATATTTATGTAAGAGAGCGAGTGTGTGTGTGTGTGTGTGTGTGTGTGTCGCAGCTTGCAGCATTCCCTTTGGATTAGGCTCCTATCTGAAGGAGAACCAAACATATTTGCAGTCCAGGTTTTGCTCCCAAGAGCAAGTGAATGGAAATGTGCACTGGGGCAGTTCCTTTAAAAAAAAAAAAAAAAAAAAACATTGGCTGCCGATACACAAACTGGGGATTCCAAGGTCGAAAAGGTATGTGTGTGTCTGTTTCTGTCCGTCTAGAACCACTTGGCTCGGGATGAGACAGTAAATGTTGGACAGCATTGTTCTGATCCACTGGCCTGTCATTACAGAGCCGGACAATAACAACTGCGACAGTTTTACAAAGAGCAGCAAACATCTCCAGTCGCAAATATTAGGCTGTTATTCTGGTGCAACCAAATGATCTACAACTAAAATGTAAGTAGATATTTCTCTACATAAAAAAAAACTAATAGAGTTATACAGTGAATGGTAGAAATCAAGCATCATAAATTATTTTTTAGAATTTTTCAAAAGAAAATTATATTATTTGAAAATCTGAATTATCTCCTGCAAGACAATAAATGGAAGAAATTTTGGCCTTTAATTAAATAAATAAATAAAAATAAACATATTCTGACTATATGTGCATTAACTTACTAATTTAAACTTAAATTTAGAGACTACATTTATGTACTTACATCAGGGTTCCTACAAATTTTTATGTCAAATAGGGCTGCCACCATCTAACTACCAATTCTTTTTTTCTTTCAGCTATTAACTGAGATTTTGATTAAACAGATTAATCTAAAATCAACAGTTTTCTCCAAATTTATTTAAAATTCTTACATTTACAGAAGAACTATGGAAAAAGTACAGGAATGCTAATCAAGCTCAGGGATGCTGCTAATGATAATTTTAGTAATGGATTATTGTTCCAACTATTCTGACGATTAATCAAAAAAAACAAAATTTATTCAGACGTTTTCTCATTTAACCAAGCTTTTAACCCACTAATAAATGGATATCAAACTGGGCTTAGTGGGAGATTTTGTTTTTCAGAATCTCAACCAGGTGAAGCTAGAATGAGTTCTGGGTACAACATATTTACAAAGACGGTTTTTCATCTTAAATGCAAAATGTACAAATGTTTGTACATTTTTTGGTTTATTTAATGCACTGAGAATATTATTCTTACAGCCTTTTGGGGTTAGAAAACTCCAATTCACAATTAGTCAGTTGCTAAATTAGTTCACCATTATTTGAATAATTGGTTCATCATGATTAATCTGACTGTTTCAGCCTTAGCAAAGGTATGTAATTAAGTATTTATTCATTCATGTTGAGGAGAAAAAAACAACAACAGATGCTTAAACCAAAAAATGTTCGCTTCCTCACAGATTCAAAGTCCATAATTTGACTGAGGTTCAATCCAAACACCCCACCCCCCCCCCCCCCCCCCCCCCCCCCCCCCCCCCTCCCTCCCC